AGAATCTTAAACATTTATAATTATAGCATTTATCTTTGCTTTGGCTATCGCTGTCACATCTGGCCTGATGTTTCTGTGATATATTCAGAGGTTTTTGATAAGATCCAAAGAAGAATCTGCAATGTTATTAGTCCTGACCTAGCATCTCAGCTTCAGTCACTTTCCCTCCACTATAACATAGTATCTCTGTGACTTTTTGTTGTAACCTAGAAAAAAGTTACGGAATGAGGAATAACCAAAATGAATGTTGGAAATGGAATAGTAATCTTTATAACATTAACAACATACAAGATTCGCCAGCGGCATGTAGTAAGTAAACCCCCCCCCCCCGCATACAATATGTTTCACTGTTTTTATGAGGATTGGGATATACCCATTATAGTCCATAGGTACGGTATAACACTTTTATATAAATACTTTCATGGTAATTGTTCTGATGAGCTTTCCTTGATGGTACCTAGATTTTATGAATTTAAGTGCAGTACTAGATTGGCAGCAAGGTCTCAGCATTTTATGGTTGAAATGGCTAGATGTAACTGTAAGTTCAATGCTAACAGTTTCTTCTCTCACCTTCTCTAGAAATACTTTCATGGTAATTGTTCTGATGAACTTTCCTCTATGGTACCTAGACTTTATGAATTTAAGTGCAGTACTAGATTGGCAGTAAGGTCTCATCATTTTATGGTTGAAATGGCTAGATGTAACCTTAAGTTCTATGCTAACAGTTTCCTCTCTTGCACTTCTCACTTGAAGATCTCACTTCTGGTAGCTTGCTTCCTAGTCAAATTTGATCTTTAAAAATTCAAATGCAATGCCAATTGATATCTTGTCTTCTCAATTCCTGTTCTTTTATAGTTCTCTCTTTCATTAATAATGTTTTTTGTTACTCACATTTTTTTTCACACTAGATAGATATCATTAATAGAATTGAAGAAATATATGAGAATTAAAAGATTTTAATTTTTTTTTCAGGCCAGAAAAAACCTCTGCCAAAAAAAGCACTCAATTTATAACTAGAGACAATAATATTCAATAAATCAAGAGAAAATGGTAACCAGATAAATCACTTGAAATTTTTGTTATTTATTGAATATATAGAGATATAGATAGATAGATCAATGAGAAAATAGAAAGATAGATGGTAAGATAGATTGATATGCATAGGCAAATCATTATACAGTGAAACCCGGATATAAGAGAGTTGTCTCTTATATCCGGGTTTCTCTTATATCCGGGTTTGGTCTATTTTATATACATTAACACAGGCTCTAATTTGGGACCAGAGAAAATCTCTCTTATATCCGGGTTTCTCTTATATCCGGGTTTGGTCTATTTTATATACATTAACACAGGCTCTAATTTGGGACCAGAGAAAATCTCTCTTATATCCGGGTTTCTCCTATATCCGGGCTTGGTCTATTTTATATACATTAACACAGGCTCTAATTTGGGACCAGAGAAAATCTCTCTTATATCCGGGTTTCTCTTATATCCGGGCTTGGTCTATTTTATATACATTAACACAGGCTCTAATTTGGGACCAGAGAAAATCTCTCTTATATCCGGGTTTGGTCTATTATATATACATTAACACAGGCTCTAATTTGGGACCAGAGAAAATCTCTCTTATATCCGGGTTTCATTGTATGTCTCTTAGTTTTTATATATATTTGCATGTAAAACATTAAGTCTGTAATACAAATCTCAAGCATACATAGCCTCTGACTTATTAACCCACAGCTCTACAAATACAACACACATGCACACAACGCACCTATATTTGCTTCAACATGTAACTTTCATTGTTGTTTTTATCTTTTTATCCCAAGAATTGTTACTGAGTTTTCTGTATTTCACTGAATTCTATGAATTATTAATAACATCACCATTTCTGCCAGTTTTGAAATTCTAGATTGGTTTCAGATGTAACTTCTTTTTTCTTTCTTTCTTTTTTTTTTTTTCTTTTTTAATGTATGAGCTTAGGTTCAGGGTCTTCAAGGGCTGGCCATGCTTAGCACCTCATCTGAGTGGTTGTGTAATGGGCACAGTGTAGTGGGGTTCACTCGCTTGCTGAAAAGTGTTCATTAAATATGAATGAAAGTGAAAAAAATGAGCATTAGCAAAGAAGTTATAGAAAAGGAAAGAGAAAAATATGGAAGAGGAGGAGGATTAAAAAGATAAAGAAGTGGAGGGAGAATTAAAAAGATGAGGAAAAAGAAAGAGAATGATGAAGATGTGGAAGAGGGAGAATAAAAAGATGAGGAAAAAAAAAGAGAATGATGAAAAAGTGGAAGAGGGAGAATAAAAAGATGAGGAAAAGGAAAGGGAATGATGAAAAGGTGGAAGAGGGAGAATAAAAAGATGAGGAAAAAGAAAGTGAATGATGAAAAAGTGGAAGAGGGAGAATAAAAAGATGAGGAAAAAGAAAGAGAATGATGAAAAAGTGGAAGAGGGAGAATAAAAAGATGAGGAAAAAGAAAGAGAATGATGAAGATGTGGAAGAGGGAGAATAAAAAGATGAGGAAAAGGAAAGGGAATGATGAAAAGGTGGAGGAGGGAGAATAAAAAGATGAGGAAAAAGAAAGAGAATGATGAAGATGTGGAGAGGAAGAATAAAAAGGTGAGGAAAAAAGAAAGAATGATGAAAAAGTGGAGGAGGGAGAATAAAAAAAAAGGTGAGGAAAGATGAAGATGAGATGGAAGAAAAAGAAGAAAGTACGGAAGAGAAAATAAAAATATGTTGATGAAGAAAAAAAAGAAGGATGAGGGATGGGGAGAAGCAAAAATAAAAAGATGATTAGGAGGAAGAAAAAGAAGAAATGAAAGGGAGAGGAAGCATATATGAAGAAGAAAGAATAAAATGATGATGAATACGAAAAAGAAAGAATGAAAGAGATAAAAGGAGAAGAATGTTAAGAAAGAAGAATAAAAAGATGAGGAAAAAGAAGGAATGAACGAGAAAACAGAAGGTGGATGTGGAGAAGGAAGAATAAAAAGATGAAGAAAGAGAAGGGATGGAAAGAAGAAGAAAAATTTTAGAGGAGGAGGCAGAGGAGGAAAAAGAAAGTATACAAGAAAGAAGAATAAAATGAATATATGGAGGAGGAAGAAGAAAAAGATAAGAAAATGGAAAAAAGAGGAAGAAGAGGAGAAGAAGGTATGGAAAGGTGAAGAAGAGGAACAAGGAAAAGATGGAGCTAAGTAGAAAGAGTAGAATAGAAAGAGAAAAGGCATGAATGACTGAAGGAAAAGAAACAATAGGCAATTTGATGAGAAGAAGATGAAAGAAAAAAATTGGACAAAAAAAAGAAAAACTGAAATTAAAAAAATAAGAAAATATGCTAAATAAAATTTGTTTTTTTCCATGTTCCCCCCACTATGGATAAAATAATGGCAGACTGCAAATTTTAGCCATAAGAGGGTAACCAGTCTAGGAGAACAATAACTGAATTCAAAACTCACTAAATAATAGAGCAGGCTGGGATCTTTAGCCTTGCTAGCACAACCAGTCTTTAAGAAGGGTAGCTCGGAATTCAAACCCTTGTAAATAATAGGATAGATTGGGCACTTTAACCTTAGTAGGGCAATCTGCCTAGAAGAAAGATAACACTGAATTCAAAAATTGTAAAGGCAACAGGAAATCATGCCTAAGAACCATCATGGCAATTCAGATATTTATGAAAAAGAAGCTGTCGAGAGCTACGATCACCTATATCTTGAACGTATAAGAAATGGATCATCGGAAATTTTCTTAAACAGTGAAATTAATAACAACCTACTTAGAGTGAGAAGTCTGACTAAAGAATGGTTGTGCCTCTGACAGGAATTGAACCTGTATCCCGTTTTCCATCAGGTAAACCATTTCTGTAGCTGATGTGTGCCTTTACCACTTCAGCTACAGAGGCTGCATTGTTTGAGCAAAGTTTAAGAATTTTTTTATACAATATGAATGAAAATGGAGAAACTAAAAAATGGCAAGGAAAAAAAATGAACAAGGAAAAATTGTGGAAAAAATAAAAAAATAACACCCTCACCCCACATAAAACTTGTCCTTAAAAAAAAAATGATCTTTATATTTATTTCTCTAGAAAGAAGACCTCACCCCTAATCAACTCATTTTTTTCCCTTTCAAGGTCCACCCATCTTTCTCGACTTAGCCCTTCCCTCTGAACTCTGGGGTTCTATAACACTAACAAGTGACAGATGTTCCTCATCAAGGCTTCTACAGACAGGAGACTCTTTTATAGATTTTTATCAGTTTCCTGAAAGATTTGACCAAATCTTTAGTACCAAATCCTCATGTTTAATCTGTTTCTCTTTTCAATTCCTACCCCAAGAACATCTGTTCCAAACTCAACAAATGAGGCAGTCAATTTTTGTGATTACCCTGTAGATCTGAACCACAAACAACTAAGTCATAGATAATGATCCCATGTATGTCTTATAAATGGAAATGATTTCAAACAAGAAATGATTCAATCCTGTAGATAAAAAAAAATGTATCTCCCAAATCCTGATAATGTAATTTTTCTAAAGAAGAGAATGCAGTACTGTTATGTAATCACAATCCTAATATATGGCAATAAATGATGAAGTGTATAAACAAGGCTTCTTTTTTCTTAATCAGTTCACCCCAAGTAAGGTAATAATGTCACTAAGTATCAAGGGACTACTGGATTGAAAATAAATGAAATGACTTTAGAAAGAACCAGAAACCCGATCCTAAACAGGGAACAAGGGATAAATCTCTACTCCTGTTCGAAAGACCAAAAATCTGATCCTTGATCATTTGGTCAGATTTTGAAAAATGGTTCAGACTACAAACTTTTCAGCATTATATATATATATATATATATATATATATAGATACAAAACTCTTTTCACGCTTCAATGCACACTTGACCACAACATTCAAACATAAAAGAAAAATTCCATAATGAATGATTATTCCCATTTTAATGACTGCTAAAGCATAGCTGTCAGACATAGTATTTAAATGC